AGTTTCAAAAAGGAAGGAAAAGGCACATCGGCTGAAACAAAAAAAGTGTAGGCATCTTACCTCATATTTCGCATTCACCGATTGATTAGATGCGAAAACTTTGCCTAAAAGAGCATAGACACTTTCGCTGTATTCCGGAACCTTAACCTATGAGGAAAGACGTAAAGCCTAAAAATCATTAAAGTAAGAGCTACTTAAATATAATGAGTAGAACACTATACCTCTTTTAGGGCGAGCATATTGCGCAGTAGCAGTAGACATTTTTGAACAAAGTACTCTTCCACATGAGCCTGATCAGGTTTTGAGTTGAGCACACATCCACTGGTTTCGAAAATAACATTAATTTCATCCTGCCTTGTTGCTGAACGCATTTCGCTTTAAGGAAAATAAAAAATGACCACATTTGGTAACCAATCAAAAGATTCTACTCATATTTTTGGTTCACGTGAAATACGAATTCAATACTCGGGAAAAAAACTATGAAACTAATATGTCAATATTACTTTAAAAAAATAAAGCAATTACCTACTACTTCCATTAAAAGTCACCTAATCATTTTGAGGAAATCTGAAATTGGTCTTAAGTGCATGGATGAAGAGAGTATGAGATTCATCGTCACATACACACATGTTGTAATTCAGCTGAGATTGACCAATTGGTTCTCAAGGACATTAAGTCGAGGTGTGCGTGAGTGGCGTTTAATGAGTATTTCTATGGGGAGGACTTCTCGTAAACCTTGAAATGTCACACACGTTTGCCATCTAGATTGTCTTTAAGAAAAACTCCAAGAACAATTGTTCCTTAAAGTGTGAGAATTGACGTTTTTGGAAAGAAATAAAATTCAAAGCATTCAAAGCATGTGGAAAGTGTAAGAACAGCCTGCCTCAAGAAATCTTTGACCGAAATAAAAACAAAGAAAGTCCCTGAAGGTGTTGGGGGAGGGGAGTGAAATTTTCCCCATTTTATAAATGAAGTAAAATGGGGTGTGCGATAGACTCACCTCCACGTGGTGCATCCTGGGCAACGTATACTCACGATAGACTTACCTCCAGGTGGTGCACCCTGGACAACGTATACTCAAACGGCACGTGGTGCACCCTGGGCAACGTATACTCATACGGCTCCACGTGGTGCACCCTGGGCAACGTTTACTCATACGGCTCCACGTGGTGCACCCTGGGCAACGTATACTCATAAGGCACCACGTGGTGCACCCTGGGCAACGTGTACTCATACGGCAAGTAAGTCTATCACGTGGTGCACCCTGGGCAACGTATACTCATACGGCAAACAAACTGGTGCACCCTGGGCAACGTATACACGGCAAAAGAGTCCGGGTGCACCCTGGGCAACGTATACTCATACAGCAAAAATGTGGTGCATCCTGGGCAACGTATACTCATACGGCAAAAAAGTCCATTAATCGGGGGCAACGTATACTCATACGGCAAAAAAAGTCTATTAACTAGCAGTTGACTTCTCTTTTACATCTTTAAACCACTCTTCCATTCCTCCCTATCGACTTTTTTTCACTTTGATGTTCCTCCTCCCCTCTATGAAGCCCGTAGTCAACTAAAGAGCTAATGATACCTATCAAAACGCCTGCCGTTTGATATAAATAAATAAATGAAGTGAAATTAATGTCAAATCCATTCATAAGTTAAATTTTAGCACCAGTAGTCTAAACTAATCAAAGGCGAAATAAGCTAATGATCTGATGGTCTTAATTATTTATTCCTAGAGAGATAAATGTGATGGCTTTCGCATCTATATCACGGGAATTTGGGCCTTATTGGCCTCACAAAATAGCCACAAATTCAAGACAAAATGATAACACGTGATTGCCACAATGGTAAGTCAATACTTTAACAAATAAAATTTTCTATTGTGATGAATACTCACTCTGACTAATATTGCAACCGCCAATATTCAAGTTATCCGTAAAGGAGAGGCATTGGAGACGAAATCCAATTCACTCTCGATTCAGTAATAACCTTTCCTTGTTTGGTATCCATTACCAACAAAGTGAGAAGAACTCCCAAAAAACACAACCTCCCAATGAACAAATCCAATGAGGCCGTAATTGATTACACTCTACGCCCCAAACTTTGCGTGAGTTGTGACTGGCAAGTTAGTGGATTGGGTACAGGAATCTTTTAAGCGACCCCGTCCACCACAGGACAAGTATCCACCCTCTTGCACACATCATCACGGTACAACTTACCAGTCAGAGGGGGTTCGAGAGAGGACTTCATCACACAGAGCCACAGCTTTGGGGATTGTATAGGACGCGTCCAGACGTTCGATAGTCTCCGCGCGATTAAGGATTCGAGTGGTGCCCGATACTGCAGCTGCACTAGAGAGGCCCCAGACACCGTTCAAACGTAGGGAAAGTGCATTTTCGCCATCCTCCACCTTTAGAAGAGAGTGGAAAACGTCGATGCTCTTCACTCGAAATTTCTACAGCAATAAAAAAGAGAGAGAGATATGTATATATATATGAGGATGATCTGCATTAAATCAATGGGGGTTTCGAGATAATCTCAATTTCTATGTGCAAACATCTACCATAAATACACCTTCGCCAATTAATGGATTGATAGTTCGAAAGATACACAATGCAGAGCATTATTTTGCCCAACAGCCTATCAAGCCAATGACGTAGTGGATGGATGCCCGTAGTGATTAATTCTAGTCAAAAGAAGGGTTAGTTGAATAATGGCGTTCAAGGATAGTTTCTATTATGGGCTTGGCGTTGGAGCTACATCATCTCCTCGCGATAATCGAATCTCATTTTCAAAAATTGACTTAATCGCGATTTCATGCGTAGGTTATTTCATTTATTAATTCGTTGCATTCAAATGTATGCTAATTTATTCAAAACGTAAGCAAGTTCCTAGTACATTATACGTGGTAGATAAACACACACACTTTTTATCGTACCTTGTGGAAAACTTTCGCATGCTGAAATTAATAATAATAATAATAATAATAATTTGGTAAGACCAGTGCATGAACAACAGAATTCTATTGAGTACTCTCCTGTGAACTAAAAATATGGTGTGATTTAACGCAACTAAGCATTAAACAACAACATGAGTTGATGGAAAGCTTTGCTTACATCAAGGTCATGAAGTTGACAGAGTTGCAAATTGACCAATGTGGAGGACGTCGCTAGTGCAATTTCCGCGTGGCATGGATTTGAATTGACCGTCGGGATGAGGCGATTGGTGAGCTAAAAAATGTGCAAGTGTAAACCATTAAGTGAAAAAAAAAAGATGAAGTCTACCTTATAGCGGTAGTTTCAAACAAACCTCGGTCAGGTAGTTGATGATTGAGACGTCACTGAAGAGAGTATGGATCACTCTAATAGATCGAGATAGTCCATGAAGAAGTTGGCAGACAGCGAGCTAAAAATAATACGAAATTTCGAGGTTTCACACGTATTGGCGGTATTTAGGACACATTATTATAAACTTTCAACAAAATCTACTTTTCGTAGACTAAAATTTAGACATTTTTTCTAGAATAAATGCTTTGAAAGATGTTGGTTCATGCGTACGCTCTTTTCAAACGATTTCATATTCATATTCATATCCATCTGATAAATCACAAATACGAGAATAAAATTGGTCTTTTAAAGCCAAACTCAGTTAAAATTAACTTGTTAATAACGAAAAAGCAGAGATTTAAAATAGAAATTGGAGGGAAAAGCCGTTATTTCATTACTTTAAATGTTTTATTTTGTTCTAATAAATTATTGTTATCAATCCATGTGGAAAGAAAGATTTTCTGGTTGCTAGCTATTAGCAAAATCTTTTTTGAAGCCTCATAGATATAATAGTAATAATTGAGCATTTCTTTGTTGAACAGTATTGGCCAGTGCGATCAATAATTTCAAAGATTGGATGTGTATAGATGAGTCATCAACAGATTCATTCGCAAACGGAATAGAGAAATCTTCCAGGAAATATAAAATCGCACATATATATATTTAGCACCGAGTGAACAAGAGACTTACCCCCACGTGGTGCACCCTGGGCAACGTATAATCATACGGCAAAAAGTCTATCACGTGGTGCACCCTGGGCAACGTATACTCATACGGCAAACAAACTGGTGCACCCTGGGCAACGTATACACGGCAAAAGAGTCCGGGTGCACCCTGGGCAACGTATACTCATACAGCAAAAATGTGGTGCACCTTGGGCAACGTATACTCATACGGCAAAAAACGGTGCACCCTGGGCAACGTATAATCATACGGCAAAAAGTCTATTAACCGGCAGTTGACCTCTGACTGCAAACTACCATGACTCCATTGTATGTCATATTCGACAACTTTCACAGTACTCATCTTATCTTTTTTCTCTAAATTTGTGTCTGCCTATTTTACATATTTGAAACACTCTTCCGTTCCCCCTCACCACTTTTTATGACTTCGATGCTCCTCCCCTCTTTGAAGCCCGAAGTCAACTAGATTGTTAGTGATAACAATCATAAAGCTTGCCATTTGATATAAAGCATATCCAATACGAGCAGAAATGAATTGAACAAGAGTCACTTACCGTGAGATTCATGCAAGCGATCGAGTTGCTTGTGGTGAGTGAGGGATGTGTGACGAACATTTGAATGAGGGCTCGGATCATTGACAATTCGCTAATCTGAAAGACAAGACAATAGGCAAGCTCAATTTAACTGTGATAGACCACGTGAATGGTGTAAGATGCCTAGTAAACAATCTATAGTTGTCCGGAATCCCTGTACTACAATAAGAGTCAGGGTTTAATGAAAGATGAAAACAAAAGAAATGAACTAACGAAAGACAATGCAAAAGGAAACAAAGAAATTACCCGAACACGAACATCTTCGCACGTGGAA